TGCCCTCGGTTTCCTGCAAGGGTCCGTTCTTGGCTTTGCTTGTGGCAAGAAGCCCCCGAGGTAGGGTGGCCAGGTGCACGTTCAGTACACACACACATACACACAGCTCTTCGCTCTGGACCACAAACACCCCAATCGGTGGTTCCATCCGAGCTGCACCTGCCTCTCTCACCCTCCCAGTGCCTTACCCAAGGGTTGGCACATAGAGATACTCAAGTAAGCGTTGCTGAATGTACAAATACAAGTTAAGCGCGAGGGCATCCCTGTTATGGTACAGTGGGTGGGGGGAGTGACCCAGCTCTAGTTGGGAGTGAAGAAAGTGGTCTTTGCACTGGAGTTTCCAGGAGTAGTTGGCTTTCGATGGGAGAGAGAAAGGCCGTGATTTCCAGGGCAGAGAAAACAGAGCAGGATGCAGAGGCAGGACAGAGTGACAGAGTGACAGAGTGACAGCACAGGCCAGCCCGGCCGGCAAATCTGGGACCCCAGAGTGACCTCGTGATACCCCCCCATCTAGAGGAGGCCAGCCCTGGGGAGTCAGCTTTCACAAAAGTTCTCATCTCCATGCCCGCCAAACATGTGTTTCCCGCAGCATCCTCCCATCGCCATAACAACCACATCCCAGGAGGATCAGCGGCAGCCCCAGACCACCCCACTGCAGCCTTTGGCTGGCAGGCTAGTCAGTTCCTGACAGCGAGGCCACACCCCCTCCCTGCTGCCCTGCACCCCGGCCTTGCTGGGAATCTCAGCCTCAGGCCCACAGTCTGCGCCCTACTTACAAACAGGCACTTTCTAGGCTTCCACTGGCAATTTCCCTTTGGCCTTGAATCCTCTGCTCTAAGAGTATGCCTATGCCCTGATTAGTCTACCTGGAACAAATCACCAACCCCATAAGCCATCTGCCAACAGGAATGCAAGGGCAGGCAGAGGGCATGGAGGGGACCGCGGGGCACAAACGTGGAAAGTGGTTGGGGCACATCTCGGGGGTGCAGGGCTGAGCTGACAACGGAAACCTGGATATTCAGCTGAAGGCAGGATTTTGAGCAGACTCAGGTATTTTGAGGATGTCCTATCTAGTGAGAGGTGTGAACGGATGGATTGCAGTCTCCATGGCGTGTGTCTCGACACACAACGGTTTATTGAGCATCTGAGCTTTGGAGGCGTGCACAGTCGGGCTCTGGAAGGCCACCCCACTTGCTGGGAAGGAGCAGACAACCCTTGGGCTGAGTCAGTGCAGCAAACAGGTTCCCTCTAAGTAGACTTGAGCTGGAGAGAGCATTGATGTGTCTCTCTCACATCGATGTTCTCTCTCCCCCCCCCCGCTTCCTCTCTCTCTAAAATTAATGATAAAATGTCCTCAGGTGAGGATTTAAAAAAAAAAAGACCACTTTCCATAGATACCTAAGATTTGTTGTTTAAAATCAGGACTAAAACCAGCATCCCCTTCACCTTGCACTTGGCTGCCATTTCAGATCAGGCCCGATGCATTTGATATTGAATGGCCACAATGGCCACACAGGGTAAGTGGAAGGTCAGGCTGCAAACTAGATACCTGGGCCTTGTGTGAAGCTGTCTGGCCTGGGGCCTGGGACCGGGGTGTGTCTCTGAGAACCCAGGGAGGGGTGGTAGCCAGGCCCCAGGAGGGCCTTTCTGGACTTGGCATTGCAAGGACCAGCATGTCGCCCTTCCTCTCAACCTGCTCCTGGATCTGCTTCCACGCCTTCCCATGGGAGGCCACTGTCGTTGAAAACACCAGAAAGAATCCTGGGTCCACAGGTGACCTGCATAGACATCATCACTTGATCCAAAATGCTTATGGAACAGACTGAAACCACCACCAACCAGGCGAAGGGTGGTGCAGCGGTGAATTACAGAAAGAAGCCCATGAGGCTGGATTTGAATTGGCAGCTTGCTGGAGCCCTCATGCTATATACAGAGGTATGTTCAGTCAACAGGCCAGGAAGCAGCATCACCCCAGCAGCACTGAGCACAGCTGGCACCCAGATCTTGGTCTCTAACTACCATTTTCTGCTAAAGGGAACCAGAGCTGATTCCAGGGCTGGGGCTTGAAAAGTTGCAGAGGAGACTGGGACCCTTGTCATCCTCGGAAGCAAGGCAGTGCCCCAAACTGATAGGGAAATAGCAGAGGAACAGGAGCCCCTCAGTGGTCTTTCTGCCACTGGCCTAATTGCATACTACCTGAGCATCAAAATATATATATATAGTGGCAATAATGAATTATAATGCTTTAAATAAAAAAGGAATCAATGAGTTCATAGCGATCATTAAAAGCAGCTGGGGGAAAACGTTTCTGTGTAGAAGGATGCCAAGTAACAAATGCAGAAGGAACGGTATTTTTTTTTTTAAATCACCACTTTGTGACCAATGTACTAATGGATTCAGGCAGGCTAGGGTCAGTATGGATGCTAAAGCCACCGGGTAGAATGACGTAGGAACACGGGATGCTCACTCGTCTCAGACTGTCAACCCCCCAGGTTGCCGACTAATCACAAAGAGTCAAATGTGCAAAGAGGGGATCTGACCCATGGCACCTGAACCAAAGGATCAGACTTGGCATCGCCAACAGCAGAGTAACCAGCCATCAGGTGCCCCCTGGTGGTTACAAATGGAAGGACTCGATATTGTCTGATTTGGGCCAAAAATGCCTAACTGGAATCCAACTAAACTTTAACAAACAAAATTGAGTACATTCAGATTATGGGACACTCTACCAGGCAACTGGAATGACTGGAAAACATGTAATGCCGAGGCTGAAACACACATAAAGTGGGTTATGGGAAAGTGACCTGACTACTAAGTACAACAGTGGACTCCTGGAGACGTGCTGGACTCCTTACGGGTAAAGGGCCAGGATGCCTACAACCAACTTGCAAATGATTCAGCAAATAATGAAAAGCATGTGTTTCCATGGGTGAGTAGAGAGGGGGAAGTAGAAGTAGCAACATAGCAACAATTAAAGAATCTAGGTGAAGGGCACAGGGGTATTCATTGGGTGCCAGTTCAACCTGACTGCAATTTTGAAAATTTTCAAAATAAAAAGTGTTATGACTCTATTGCAGAACGGCTTGTCAAAACACAAAAACAAAAGCAAAACAAATCACTGAGACTAAAACTCCATTCTCTTGACCCCAAATCCAGCACACTAGCATTCTTCCCTCTTTGTCCAGGCAAACGGAGACAGGCACGGAGAGTTCCTTATTTTTGGTTCTAAGACCAGACAGAGCTTTTTTTTTTTTTTTTTTAATTTATTTATTTTTTTGAATTGATTATGCTGTTACAGTTGTTCTATTCCCCCCTTCATTCCCCTCCACCCTGCCCCCCCAACCCCACCATTACCCCCCTTTAGTTTATGTCCATGTGTCTCAAGTCCTTTAGGTTCTATATTTCCCATACTATTCTTGCCCCCCATCTATTTTCTATCTACTGTCTATGCTACTTGTTTTCTGTACCTTCTCCCCCCATCTCCTCCTCCCACTCCCCCTGTTGCTAACCCTCCTTGAGATCTTCATTTCTATGTTTCCACTCCTGATCTAGCTGTCCCTTTAGTTTGCTTTCGTTTTAGGTGTGGTTGTTAATAACTGTGAGTTTGTTGTCCTTTCACTGTTCATGTTTCTTTAACTTCTTTTTCTTAGATAAGTCCCTTTAACATTTCATATAATAAGGGCTTGGTGATGATGAACTCCTTGAATTTGGTCTTATCTGAGAAGCACCTTATCTGTCCTTCCGTTCTAAATGAAAGTTTTGCTGGGTAGAGCAATCTTGGTTGTAGGTCTTTAGATTTCATGACTTGGAATATTTCTTTCCAGCCCCTTCTTGCCTGTAAGGTCTCTTTTGAGAAATCTGCTGACAGCCTGATGGGGACTCCTTTGTAGGTGATTGTCCCCTTAGCTCTTGCTGCTTCCAGGATTCTTTCCTTCATTTTAATTTTGGCTAATGTAATTATGATATGCCTTGGTGTGTTTCTTCTTGAGTCCAACTTTTTTGGTACTCTCTGGGCTTCTTGGATTTCTTGGAAGTCTATTTCCTTTGCCAGATTGGGGAAATTTTCTTTTATTATTTGTTCAAATAGTTTTTCCACTGGTGGTTGTGTCTTTCCCCCTTCTGTACCCCTATAATTCGGATATTGGAGCGTTTAAAGATGTCCTGGAGGTTCCTAAGCTTCTCCTCATTTTTCTGAATTCTTATTTCTTCATTCCTTTCTGTTTGATCATTTTTTCTTCCTTCTGGTCCACTACATTGATTTGAGTCCCAGTTTTTTTTTCATCTCTATGGGTTTCCTGTGGAATTCCATTCATTTCCCTTAATTTAGCCTTCATATGTTTCTCTAATTTGTGGCTATAATCCACCAGATCTATGAGGAAGCTGATGACCAGTGTTTTAAACTGTGCATCTGAGAGTTTTGCTATTTCTTCGTCGTTTAGATTTATCTCTGGGGCTTTGAGTTCTCCCTGGGACATTTTTGGTCTGTTCTGGCCCTTTAAGTGGGAGGAGCGGCGCCTTGGAGTCCCAGGTCGCTGGGTTGTGACGCTGTATGTGGGGGCGTGGTCAGGGCGGGGAAATGGCAGCGCGTCTCGCCGCCACCGCCACCGCCGCCGCCTCCCCACTGTCTCCTCTGTAGTCGCTCACCCGTTGGGTTGCTCGGTGGCTTACTAGGTCCAATCCTGGGTTTGGAACCCGTGCGACTGGATTCGCGCGTCTGGATTCCGCGCCCGTGTCCGACCGAGCCCTCCTTTGTAACTCCTCACCCGACGCCGGTTTCGCCCCTTACCGGTCGGGCTGAAGAATTTGTTGTTAGCAGACTTCCGAAAAGTTCAGTTTTCCGTGTTCTGGTTGTGTTTTCTGATGCTAATATTTAGTTGTCCCTAAACTTGGTTGTGTGAGGAGGCACGGCATATCCACCTAAACCTCCATCTTGGCGGAAGTCCCAGACAGAGCTTTGAGAGCCGGTAAGGGTCCCAGGCTTTCGGACTCTGGTTACTTACCTGAGGAGGAGATGAAGACGAGGCCCGCAGCGCCACCTAGTGGCCATTTCGGGAAGTCTGTCTTCTGCCGCCGAGAAAGAAAACTCACGCCACTTCATGGGTGTCTTTCCTGCAGTTCAGCCTGACTGTGACATTTTCCCGTCTGCGAAACACTGATGTTTGTTTCTCTAATTTTCTGATACGGATTTCCAGTTGCTCTGGAGAAACGAAGCAAAGAGCCAATTTCCTCTGCCCAGGAACCTAATGGAGCCTCCAAATTCTTTGATAATCCAAAAGAAAGAGACAAGCCCTACTCATATGTGTCTGGGGTCTCTTACCATTTCACACCAGCAAACCGCGGGCCTTTCTGGCTCCCTCTTGTGGAAAAAAATGAAAGCCAACCAGATGAGAAAAGCAAAGGCGAGTTATTCAGGGCTTGCTGTTGCTAAGGAGTCAGTCAGTCACTTGAGTTTCGGGGCAGAGACTCAGAGGCAGGCAGAGGGGTGGGGAGGGATGAGAGTGTACAGAGGGAGGGCTCAGGGGTGACTGGAAGCTGTTGATGGGGAAGCTGGAGGTGGCCCACTAGCAGAGGGGTGCCCTCTGTGATTGGTTGGGGCACCTGTTTGACTTTCTCTGGTTGATCTAAGTTGGAAGCAGGGATGAAAAGCAGGAAAGCTGTCAGTTACTAATCAAGTCCTGGACACTGGGGGCTGATTTTTACAAAAGTTATTGTTTAGTCCCTGGTTGATGTGGCTTAGTGGGTTGAGCACTGGTCCATTAACTGAAAGGTCACAGGTCCGATTCCCAGTCAGGGCACATGCCTAGGTTGCAAGTTCAGTCCTAGTTAACGAGTGTGCAAGAGGCAACCAACCAATGTTTCTCTCTCACATGGATGTTTCTCTCCCTCTATCTCCTTTTCCTCCCCTCTCTCTAAAATCAATAATTTTTTTAAAAATTTTAAGTCATTGTTTAACTTCCTGGATTATTACTAACTAGCAGATAGATATACTGCTATTTAGTAATAGCAGGTCTGGGTTACTAAGGGACTGGCTTCCTGGGCTATTTATTAAAGATAAGGGGTTTTAGTTTCCTGGGCAGGTTGCTGCAGTTTGGGGGTGAGGGGGGCAATCAAAGATCCAGTTTTATAGATGGTCTGGCCATTGTCCTTTCGTGAATTTAGTCTGTCACTCTGGAAGCAGCACCGCGGGTGGCATCATGACAACAGCAGCTCTAATCCCAGGAAAGAGAGGTCAGAAGACCCAGGTTTGGTCCTCGGTCTTCTTCTCAGTCTGGGAAGGCTTCTCCAAGCTTGGGTGGACTCCTCCCAGCAGAGCAGGGCTGCTGGGACCTGACACTCTGTGGCCTGACATTAAACTCACATGCGCCCTCTAGCGGCTGGGGAGAGAGTAGCTGGAGCTGTGCTGCGATTACCTGCCCTCAATACCAGCCCCCAGATGTAATCGCAACCTCTGGGACTCCCAGCGGCTCGCAATGTGAATAAATCTGGTTTATCCCAAGCTGACACCTGCCCTGCGCTTACCAGCCCCGGGTGCTCTTCCCCTGTCTCCAACGCCCAGGCTCTGCGTGTGAAATGGTCCCACCTCAAGCTGCCCTGGGTGGATATCGACTGGCTCATAGACATCTCCTGCCAGATCACAGAGCTGGACCTTTCCGCCAACTGCCTGTCCTCCCTCCCGTCGGTCATCCCCTGGGGACTCATCAACCTCCGAAAGCTGAACCTCTCGGACAACCACCTGGCCGAACTGCCCGGCGTGCAGTCATCAGACGAGATCATCTGTTCCAGGTGGGCCTCCCGCATCGCAGGTGCTCGGGGTGTGAGTGGTGGGCGTGGGGGTGCCGTGTGCACCCCAGCTGCTGACACTGGCCTCCCCAGCACGGGCTCCCAGACCGTAGCCTGTGGTTTTGAAAACAAATTTTTAGTAGAAATGAGAGAAGAAAACTCTGCCTATTTTAACACAAGCTCCATCTTAGGGACATGGTCCCCGCCCCCCATCCAGGGGAACCCAGAGCAGAGTGGTCTGCGTGGCCCCAAATGTACACTGCCCCCTGGCGGCCTGGCGGACCTGCCTGCCCACCACACCTGGCCCCCTTCTCCGTCCAGCATTCAGGAATCAGAGGAGGGGGCTGGTGGAAGCTGTGAAGCCCAGACCCCCAGCTGTTGTCCCACCTCCCAGGGAAAGTGAGGAGGACCCTGGGGGTGCACATTCACTCAGCAGTGCGCCAGCAGCAGGAAGCAGGTGTGGGTAGCTCTGTCCCCTTTTGGGGGAGCCCTTGGGAAGCTAAGGCTCTAAGAGTAAGACAGAAAGAAGGGGCATCAGTCGCCAGCGGGGGAGGGGGAAAACTGCACACAAAAATCTAAAGGGCGTGTGCCATCCAAGTGGGGGCCCTGAGGGGGTCTGTAATGGGGCCAGACTCGGGTCCAGAAGGTTGAAGGCAGCTTTCAAGACACTAGTTCATGAGGCTATCCCATGTACGAGAAGGGCTTTCTGTCCCTATTGGCCAGCGAGACCAGGGCCCCCCAAAGAGTTGGATTTCCTTTGTCTCCACGGGCCATGGTAACAGTTAATGCAATGAAGAAAAAGTAGGTCGCTACACTTTCAATGCCTGCGCTTTACGCCTTGTTCAAGGAGCCAAATGAAACGTACACCCCTGTGTTTACAGAAATTTGTAACAGGGGTGCTTGGCCTCTTTTTTTCTGAAGCTTTGACGTCCTTCTTCCCCAACAACAGGCTCCTTGAAATCGACATTTCCAACAACAAGTTGTCCCATCTCCCCCCGGGATTCCTGCACCTCTCCAAGCTCCAAAAACTGACCGCTTCAAAAAATTACTTAGAAAAACTGTTCGAAGAAGAAAGTGGTATGTTCCGCCGTCCGTCCCCTGACTTGATTCTGTCATTTTCTTCCTGGCAGGAATTTTTTTTTTTTTAACAATTCATATTTTCTTTTATTTTTCTTCCCCAGCCACTAACTGGATTGGTTTGCGGAAACTACAGGAACTGGATATTTCTGACAATAAGCTGACGGAACTCCCTATGATTTTCCTTCATTCTTTCAAGTCACTGAGTTATCTGAATGTCTCCAGAAACAAGCTGAAGATGTTTCCAGATGCCTGGGCCTGCCCTTTGGTTAGTATCACACCGGAAGTCACGGAGGGCTGGGCGCTGTCTCACCTGCTCCCCTTTGGTGGCCCTGCTGGCCCTGTGTTAGAGACCAGACATGTCACTCAGCAGCCAGCAGCTTAGTGTCCCAGGCAGGTAACTCCCCTGAACGCCAGACCAAGTGGCTCTGGGCTTGGGATTTGCACCATGAGACCCTCAGCCCTTTGCACATTTACGGCTTGTGCGTCCGGCCTAGGATGGCTTCTGCCCAAAGAGGGGGAAGGGAGGGGAGGTCTCAGTTCCTCTCAGCCAACTCTACACTTAGAATAAAGAAGAAATAATCTGCTCCCAGCGCACTGCCACGAAGACGGTGTTTTTGTTTCTCGGGAAGTTTGCTCATGAAAGCAGACGGAACAGCCTAAGCAGCAGCTGTGTTTTCTTGCTGTTGATTTTACACCGGGAAATTCTCCATCACCAGCAGTAACATGTCCAGTTTCAACCGCCGTGTGTGGGAATCCGGCCGCTCTCCAGAGCTCAGGCCTGAACTGTCCCATTATCTCCCGGGACAAAGAGGCGCATGTTCTGGGACGGAGGAAAAGGGTCATGAGCCCCCATTGTCTCCCCTGAGAACCCGTTTCCGTCCGTCTGTCCCTGGGAGCAGGGACGGGGAAATGGGACAGCCACACTCTGCCGCCTCTTCAGTCTCGGAATTGTGGGCTAGAGGTCTTATTTTTAAATTGAATCGGGAGAGTCCTTCTCCCGCACTGATGATCATTCGAAAAGCTCATTCACACCTCCTTCCCTTCCTCCGAAAATGGCCAGAAGTGCTGTCGAGCATCCTACAACACCCTGGAGTGCCTCCCGGACAGAATGGCCATCTTCTGGAAAAACCACCTTAAGGACGTGGATTTCTCAGAAAACGCTCTCAAGGAAGTCCCGCCGGGGCTCTTCCAGCTCGACGTAAGTGGTAGCAGCCGGGGCTCTCGCGGCCAGCTTTCGTGCAAAAATCAGTCCCCATTGCAGGGAAGTCTGCGTACTTCTCCTGAGTGTCTGGGACCAAAAAAAAAAAGTTGAACTGCCCAAACAAATGTGCAAAGATTGATAGGAAATATGCAGAATGAAATCCCCTACTTGAGGAGGGTAGAGTTATGGGTTCTTACCCTCCCCCCAGGACTTTCTTTACTGTTGAAAACTGTGAGCACAGCCCAGCAGCCCCTCTGTCTGACCGTCTCAGGCTCTCTCCCTTCTCGGGCAACGTGAAGGTTTGCTGGTGTAGGAAGCCCAAGACCAGGGGAACACTGTCTTTCGGGACCTCCTTGTCCCTGCCGCCCTCCCCAGAGGTGGCCGTCCTGGAAGCTTCTGTGGACGTGAGTTCAGGAATTACTTTCCCAGAGGCCTATGCGTCCCCGAGCCCCTCCCCACCAATGTGGGGCCCCTTTCTCGATTTTTTTTTTTTTTATCCTCACCAGAGGACATGTTCACTGATCCTGGGGAGAGAGAAGAGGGGGCAGGAGGGACAGAGAGAGGAAAAGAGGGGTATAGTTTATCGAGTCTGAGGACACGCGTGAGCCCGCATCATGGAATCTCGGCCAAGCTGAACCGGGTGTGATCCTCGGGCTGCACTTCACCGGGAGCTGACCTTTCTCTCCAGTCCCTGTGCCCTGTCGACATTCAGTGGCATCCCCGCCCCTCTCCCTCTCTGTCCCAGGTGCTCACGTCCTTGAGGCTCCAGGGAAACCAGCTGGTGGCCGTGCCCCCTCCAGAGAAGTGGACCTGCCGGCAGCTGAAGACCCTGGATCTCTCCAGAAACCAGTTTGGCAAGTAAGCAAGTCTGTCCCGGGCAGGTTCTGAAATGTGCCTGACACAGTCGAGCGGTCCCTTGGGACCTGTCTCTCTTAGTTTATTAGGGCAGCCACCATGAAGTGTCACAGGCTGGGGGGCATTTATTTGTCACAGTTCTGGAGGCTGGAAGTCCAAGGTCAAGGCATCAGCAGGGTTGATCGCCTCTGAGGCCACTCTCCTTGGCTCGCAGGTGGCTGTCTTCTCTGTGTCCCCACATGGTCTTCCCTCTGTGCGCATGTGCTAATGTCCTCCTCCTGTAAGGACACTGGCTCTATTGGATTAACGTCCATCACACGGCCTCGAGTTAACCTCATGACCTCTGTTAAGACCTCATCTCCAAATAAGGCCACATTCAAATAAGACAATGATGCCTCAGTCCCCTTCAAAGTAAGCACCTTGGGACCTCAGACAGTTCTCCCAACCGCCATCAGCTGCCCCGTCGTATTTTCCTGAATCTCATCGACAGTCTGAAATCTCTTCCCTT